ATACTTTGGAATACTTTGCGAGATCTCGCATTCTTTGCGAGATCTCGCATTCTTTCTTTGCGAGATCTCGCAAAGTTTTTTTTTTTCTTCCATGTCCCCTTAGGGGCTCCGTAGTAAGGTGAGAAAATGGATAGGAAAAGCAGTGACATTTGGACTCATTTCAACTTAATTGATAGTTCAATAGCAGCGTGTAGACTGTGCAAGGTTAAAATATCCAATATCAAATTTTAATTTATAATTTCTTGTGTGGTAATCAAAGCTTACTTATGTTGTTTTACTGAAAATAGTTAAAAGCTTATAAATATACACAATCAGAGATTGGAACTTTTTGTTGACCTTGTTTTGAGATGGGTCTTTGTTTTTGCACTTTGTAATTTATTTTTTGTAGCACTCCATGTTGAGTATGTTCAGAAGAATATAAATAAAGCCATAAATGTAGTAATAATAAAGATTTGATATACTGTATATATTTTTTACATTAGTAATTCATTTTACACATAATTTTACATGATTTTTGGAAGTAAATTAATTTAAGCAACAAAAAAACTGAGGAGCCATTTGGGAGCCGAAAGAGCCGGCTCTTTTTAGTGAGCCGAGCCAAAAGAACCGGCTCTTGAAAAGGAGCCGGAATTTCCATCACTACAAATTATGCCGTGTACTCTATTGTGTTCCACCGGACTTCAATGAACCATGCAAACTTTCAGTACACACAGAAAGAATTGGATCTCATGAGCGTTTTGCTTTTGGTGAACCTTTACTGCAAACAAAATAGTACGAGTCCTAAACAGCAATCACATGGCGTGATAAATGAACAGTAGAAAAGGTTCATTAATGCGGTCACTCATTTTATGCTTTCAATCTCATAAATACAATAGAGAATAAAAGAAACAGATTACGGGCATATCCATTCAGGGACAAATGTTACCACCTACTGGCGAAAAGTAAATTGCGCTAAACGGCTTCGTAATGAAAAGAGCGAGCTTTTGGAGTTCGGGTTGTGTGAAAAAATTAGTTTACGGTGTCGTTTTAATTGACGTCGATACTTCATCGACACATCTAAAACACTAATTCTACTCTTAAAAACGTATTTTAGATATGCATGCTTTTTGAATGCGTTTACATCTTTTGGAATTTATATTTTAATCTCTTCTTTTGAACTGTTAGTTTGTCATTGAGGGTGTTGAGAGTTGCGTGCAATTTGTTACGAGCGTTGTCCAGCTGTTTCCGCCAAGTTCGACCGGAAGCAAACAAGTAGGTCAGAGGCCCATCTCGCTCATCTTGTCTAAATTGCATCTCCTGGCCTCACAACTATTGGCACATTGAGGAATCCCAATGTGCAGGTTTAAAAAAAAAAAAAAAAACCTCAAAAATGACAGATGCAGTCCCCGTGAAAAAAATCTGTGCTCAGCTGTGTTTAAAGGCAGTAAGACTCTTGCTCTGACAGTTTTTAAGAGTTCCAAATTGTGGCTTCAAAAGCAGTGGGAAGAATTAAACATGATGCAAAGCACCAAAAAGTGAAAATATTTGTGCCATTAGCTGCAAGCACTTGTTTTATTTACTCCGTAGTTACACCATGACAATCACTGATGCTGATGTATTACATTCCGGACACTTCAGTGCAAGCAGCATCGGTTGTTCGGTTCCCACGATGTGCACTCTGGCTGATTGTCGACAAGTCCAGGATGCAGTCCGCCTTTCCCCCGACGTCAGCTGGGATAGGCTCCAGCCAGGCACCACGCTCAACAGGTAATGTGGCACAAATAAGAGATGGCTGGATGGATAGGCACACCACAACACATCTTGATTTTAAAGATTACATTTCATTTTAATGACTTTTAAAATGTGCTCAAAAGACAAAAAACACATGCTATAAAACATCATATTCAATATCCAGTAATACAAAAAAAAACAACTGTACCGAGAATAAACATTGATTTTTAAAGTCTTAAAATGGGTCAAGTGGAGCTGTCATGGTTCAACCAACCCTTTGCGTTTCACGATATGTGACGCTTCAGGTTTATCTACAGTTATCTGAACACAGTCCAAACCTCAAAGTGGCGAGGTAATTTTTGTGCTCTTAAAAAGTACCAATGTTAGTGCCATTGTGCTCTAACTTGACACGCAGTAGATTGTAAAAAAATAAAGAAGCTACCATTGCTAAAATGTTAGCTTGATGTGGTAGAAAGAAAGGAGACGATAATACTCCTATTTAGAACAGATTTGATTTCAACAAATGTAACTGTACAATTCATTTTAAAGTCAATGTTTTCATAGATGAGTGAAATTAAAAGTGCGTCATTGTAAAAGCCTTTCACAATTGGAAATTCATTTATCACATTCAGTCATTTGGTTGAGATAAACCCTTTGTCATATTGAGCTGATCAAATAGCGGTACAATTCCCAAAACATGACATTAGGGAAAAAGAAAATACGGCACAACCGTGACATTACAAAGTGCATGTGTACCCCTACATGCACTTTACAGAAGTCTTTGGACATGATAAAACTTAACAAGAGTGTGTCCACTTAACAAGAGTGTGTCCACTTCTCATATTAGATATTGAATAATACCATTCGATTACTGGCTGTCTTGCTGATACGGGCTCAGGGACAGGAAGAGTGTTTTCAGGACTGAATTTGAAGTGGCTGCTGGTGAAGAATCTACAGAATGACAAAGATAACTTGTTGTATCAGAACTCATAATAGTGCTCATAAGCCTTTGAGTGAGGTCTTCTTACCAACGGATGGATGCGCGCCGTGGAGCCGCTGATGGGTTGCCAGTTTGCTGGTGGGTATCCCCCTGTGAGCATTTTCTTGAGTCTGCTGCTGCTTTGGATCAACTAATCTGTCATTTTCTGCGTGGGATGCTGCTTGTGAGACTAGGGTGGGAATAGGAGCGTCACTTTGAGCGGCGCCTGACCAAAGAGCTGCCGTATCTTCTGGCTGGTATGAATGGTTTGTTTGAGGCGCGGATGGTGGAGAGAGGAGAGCGGGAGGGGTGGCGAAAAGGCTGCACAGAGAATTCGCACGGGCCTGGGCTGGTTCGGCAGTCCTTTTCGTGGTAGAATGTTGGCATTTGATATTAGTCCACTGAGGAGTAGCAGAGACAGTTTGGGTAAAGTGTCGGGGGGTGGATAAGGTTGTTGAACTCGCAAAAAGGCTTTTAAATGGCGTTTTCAAGGTTTTATTACAACCGAGTGCCGGGAGGCTAAGAGTCTCAGTTTTACGCTGTGTTGTGGTTCCACTTGAACAATATGCCTGTGGTGCCGGAGAAGTGAGAGCAGATTTGGCGTTTTTGGAATACGGGCCCTGCAGGGGAAGGTGATTGTTGGGGTTCCCGCAAGCAGCGGTTTCCGAGGAGGGGTTGATAAGTGCAGTTAGAACAGAGGCACTCTCTTGGAACGGTGTGGACCTCTGAGGTGACTGATTAAAAGGATAGAAATCATTTGTCAGATTGGGGGTAGATAACAGATGAGGGGGGCTAGAAAAAAGGCTTTGGAAGTCCAGCTTGCTGGACTTGAGCTGTTGAGCGCAGTCTACAGAGGATGTCGTGTCTGTTGTTGGATTCTGCTTTTCCTCTTTTTCAAGACAATGGAGTGAGCTCTTATGTCTTGTGCGTCCGGTTTTCATGTAATCTGCACACTTCTCCGCTTGAGTGAGTTTCGACGTAGAAGTCGGCACTGGTGTATCGTCAGAGTGAATCTCTTGAGCCACTTGGCAGGCTGTCGTCTCTCTCCAAGGCTCATTTTGTGGACGTGATAAATCTGAGGCTTTGTTATGTCGGCTCGCAGAGCTCCGCTGGCCTGTGGGAGTGTAAGATTCCACCCGTGGCATTGGTGCAGCAGTGGTAGGTGAGCGACCCAACTCTGTGGATTTAGATGCCATGTGGACGTCAACTGAGTAAGGGACTTCGCAATGGTTTGCCAAGCCAGCACAGCCAGAGGAGGCAGGAAGGACAGAGAGCGTGGTTAGATTTGGACTTAAGGGAGTTTTGAAGACAGCGGACGACTTTAGTCCCAGCACTGCTTCAACAGAGTATAAAACTGGCGGCCCGGGGGAGGGGACAACTGACGGAGACTGGCAAGCTGCTTCCCATGCCTGAGCATCTTCTTTAGTGACATCCCCCACTTGTTCAGCCCGACACGTTTCCTTGGTATTTGCATTCGGTTCGGCACTGTTGTAAAAGTTAAACCTGAAAAAAAAAAACTAGAGTGGGTCCAGCTGCACGAACTTTTTAAAGGTTAAATTCTACGTGATCGTGCTTAGATTTCAAGCCATTGCGGAAACACATACTTGAAGGGCTGTACTAATTCACCACAGCCCTTATTTGCTTCTTGATGTATAACAGGAGGATTGGGAACTTGCGTGACCTCTGGCTCATCTCCTGTCACGGGCTGAACTGAAGACTGCTCATTTTTCTTCGCATACTCCACCTCTAACGCCATGACCTGTCGAGAAAGAACTGTGCAGTAGTTTGAAACACACTGCAAAAGTACAGCTGCGGGAAAAAGTGTGCACCCCCTATGGAATGACTGGATGTTGGCATAAATTGGTCAATACATGCGATCTGATCATCTAAGTCAATACAATGGAAACCATTTTGTCGAACGAATACCATTTTGTTGAAAGAAACAATGTAAACATCACAGTGCAAGGTGGAAAAAGTATGTGGACATTTAGACTCTGCAATGTTCTTGGGATGTTACACTGTTGAGATACATCAATCGAGTTGAGGTCAGGGCTTTCACTGGGCCACTACTGAGGCTACACTTTCTTCTGTTGAAGCAATTCAGCTGTTGATTTACTTTGGTCCTTTTTTTTTCCTCACCGCACCATGTATTTTGCGTCCTGCGCTCCTTCCAGACAACACACTTTTGGTTTCATCTGTCGATATAATCGGTCCCTAGTAGTGCTGCAGAACATCCAGGGACTCTCTCGCAAAATTCAACCCAATCGCAATTGTTTTAGGGACAAAAGTGGCCTCCTTGGTGTCCTCCAAATACTTTAATTGTTGTCTGTTTTACTTGTGTACATTTGTCAACAAAGACGTCAACGTGCCAGAGATTTCTGGACGTCTTAATATTTTCCCTGAACTCAATGCACAATGCTCTTGCTACATTATGTTTACAGCAGGGGTGTCGAAACCCATTTCTGTCACGGGCCACATCCTCGTTTATTTCCTTGAGAGGGCAGTGATGACTAATTATTTCATGTATAATCGTCTCATATTAAATATAGGCTACACAATAAATTGATAGATAACTAGTTTTGAAACCAGAGGCCAATAAAAACATGTTTTTTTCAAATATTACGTTTATTTTAAAAGGGTGGTTGGGAACAAAAATTCTTGCAATAGGTCAATGTGTTTAAAAGTGAAGACAGTTTGCAATGTTGGTATTTTAGCGAGAAACATGAAGTCGATACACATAATTTGCTTTGGCGGGCCACATAAAATGATATGGCGGGTGAGATCTGGGCCCCCGGGCCTTGGGTTTGACACGTGTGGTTTACAGGATGGCCACGCTGAGGGAGTGCAGCGCCAGTCCTGAATAGTCTTATTATGGACTGGTGCACATCCAAACTTTTAGCAAGACCTTTATTTACCTTTCTAACTTCCTACAAGTGAATAATATTGCAAAACAGGTGTTTTTGTGTGTGTTTTTTTTTATGGGGCATGTGTGTTTTTGATTGGGCAACCACCATCTGCAATATTCTCACTTTAATTGGACTCAGGTTGGCTGATTCAGGACTTTGATGAATGTTAATTAAATTTTTTTTTTTTTTTGTGGTGTTAAGCAGACTGTGTTTATATTTTGTTGTGACTTGTGATAAGGATCAAATCAAATTTGATCACAAATTTATGGATAATCCCAAGGGTTTCACATACTTTTTTTTTTCAAACAATTGTAAGATTAAATGGACACACGACGTGAACAAGCAAACTTTGTATCCATACCTCATTCAACAATTTTGTGGTGATGTCATTAAGTGGCTCGTGAGAAAACCGACAGTCCTCTCCTTTAGAGCACTTTCCTTTTTTATGGAAAAATTTGCAGGGAAAGGACTGTGCACAGCCGTTCAGGAAACAACGGAAATGGAACTGAAGTACTTCGGGCAATAGTCCGAAGTGGATCAAGACTTTACCCCAAACGCTGGTTGCCTCGCCAGTGCTACATGTTACCAAATTGTAGTGGAGTCCACGATGACATTATTTGGTGTACTGCAAAGGATATTGTGCATAAACGGGCAGTGGTCCCCTTTTACGCAGGCTCCTTGTAGGTAATACTTGCAATGCTTTTTGATGAGATCATTCCGCGCTTCGATGTGCTGCATTTGACAGCTGTCACCCTGCGGACGAGGGCAAGGGGGATAGCAGCGACTTTTCAAAACGTCCTGTATTAAAATGTTTTTCTTTTGGTGGATACGAGTTTTCAGTTAACGTGCGCAAAAACGTCACCCACCTTGATGCACTTCCCGTGAAGAAAATGTCGGCAGACAATTTGTTCATTCACCAGCACAATGTTCTGCTCCCTGAACTCTGGTGAGAAATATTTGTCGGGCTAAGAAGAGAAATAATTAGAAGCATGCCGGTAGAATTTGAAGTGAAGTCGTAAGACGTAAACCCAAATTTGCGCTACTTTAATTCGTCACGATTAGAAATCTCACCTGAGTCTTATTTCTGTTCTTCATATGCTTTCTGGGTTCTGTTCTGGTTTTAGGTTTCCTTGAACTTTTTGTAGGATGGCTTCGTGCTCGATTTTGAGGCCATTCTTGCTCCTGTTGTTGACCTTTTTGGCGCTTGGTGCGTTTTCTCTGCTGTTGCTGGTTCATGCTGTGGTTTATTTTACATTTTTGGCCACTGTGCGAGGCCTCATTGGCACAGTTATTTGCTACCCTTTCAGTGAAGCCAGCCCTCATCTTCTCATGATCAGTGATCTGCACATGGTAGTCTAAAGTCTTGGGATGATCATCTTGGGAAAATGTATCAAAATCACTTCTGCTCGCTTTTGTCCAGTTACATTGCCTCTGTGAAAGAGATCGAGACAAATCAATTGTCTAGATTACGAAAAGATAAGATATGATAAGAAAACCTTTAGTTGTCTCACAAACAAAGCCAACACCAAAAAGTGCTGTGAGGGTTATCACCTAACAATGGAAAATTCTCACAGGACCGTACCCCCAAAAACTGTCGCAGTGATATACAGTTAACTGAAATCATGACCTCTTCTCAATTTACTCACGAATTCCCAACTTAGGGTGAAATACAAAACATACAGTTGGAATCATACGTTATACATAGATTATACAAAAACACACTTTTTCCTCCCTGTCTGACATGAAAGCATAAACGTTTGCCGTTCTTGGCCAGTTAGAATTACCTACCAAAAGTATTTGTATTTACTAAATGCCAGGTCAAACGTTTTGGACATCCTTCCACAAAGCTTCTCACAATAGCTGGCAGGAAGTTTGGACCATTGTTTCGGACAGAACTGCTGTAAACTGAAACAAGTTTGTAGGCCGCCTTACTCACACATGCCATTTCAGGTCTGCTCTTACATTTTTAATGACAACCCAAAAAATAACTAGATAAATAAATAAATAGATCATTGACTTTGTTGCCACTGTACAACCAGTTCGGCCGTATGCTTTAGGTTATTGTGGATTTGGAAGACCCATTCATTTGCACCCAAGCTTTTAACTTCCTGGCTGATGTCTGAAGACGTTGCTTCATTTTTTCCAAATTATGCTCTTTCCTCGTGAAGCGATCTATTTTCAAGTGCACCAGTCACTCCTGCAGCAGCAAAAATAAATAAATAAATAAATAAAAAACACAACCTGATGCTGCAACCCCTGTACTGAACAGTTGGGCTGGTTTAAGCATCCATCGACTGACATGGAACTCAGGCAGCGTGCTCTGAGCAAGCTCTCCTCTTTCTCTCAAAGGATAAAAAAAAGAGAAGAGTCAGACGCAGCATTAATGGCAATATATAAGTACATTCACGTTGCGGTTAATTGTTTATGCAAAGTGTGACCTTATGAGGATTTAAACAACTGTTTAACATACCTTTATACGAGGATCATGTGACTCGCCTCTGCTCGTCCTCCTTTTGCCTCTTGTACTCCTTTGAACCTTGTCAATGTCGCCCCTGAAAATAAATAGATCAGGTCAGAGAAGTATTAGCGAGACTTTAAAAAAAATATAAAAGTAAGTGCAACCTTAATAATGAATGAATTAATCAAAGATTGCGGCGATTACCTGACTGTAACTGACGGCTGATCATTCATCTTCGCACCATTGTGAGAAAGATTCGCAAAGAGATTTGTGAAAGCCATTATGACAAGAAGCCTAACACTTGTTTTAATCAATACTCTCCTTTAGTTTATTGTATACGCCTAAGTATGTTTCCAATGTGGAAATGTCCCGTAAATTATACGTCACAAAGCACTGCTGCGTTCGCTGTCCCTCGAAATTTTTAAACTCAACCCACCAACAATTTTTTTTTTGTTCTGATTAGAGAAACAGAAGTAGATGTGCATAGTTGTAACAACGACAGTAGAAACAATTACATTATGCTATGCAACTAAATTAACTGGGTACCAAACGCCAAGTCAGTAGAGAACTTCATCTTTTAAGTAGCTATAAACATAAACAAGAATAAAGCGGGGCTGTGAAAAATGCTGCCCATTTCAGGCGCAAAAAAACACAAGCGTCCCGGGGCTGTCCGGCAACAACAGTCAAATTGCACCGACATTCCTCCCAATCAAAATCAGTGCTGGTATACGCGTGCTGCCGAGAAGGCGCAACCAACCAAGCGCAGTTTCTTCTCCTTTGACGAATGTCGTGGCCAAAAAAATGCTGAAAACAATCCACAAATAGGCGTGCATATTGGAAATAACCACAATAGAAAAAAATTACAGCTAAGTGTAAGCTTTTGTTAAATTGTTAATTATTATCATTTTATATTTAAGCATTATATTCTTTTCTGTTAGTTACCTTAATTATATTCTGTTTAATACTTCCTGAATATTCTAATGTTGCTTACATGTGATTGGGGAAGAAAAGCAGTTAGGTGGGTCGTTACCGGAAGTGGGAGTGTTCTTTCGCGAGTTACGAGGCAGCGGTTGGAGAAATAAAAAAAAAGCTGTGTTCAAACGAAGGAGAAGGGTCCAGCTGCAGACCCGGAGGAGGCCGATTCAGGCAAAGGTAGGTTTAGGCAAGTAACTTTGCGCCGGATATGACGTCAGAAGGATGATGCCCGATTCCGAAGTAAGTCGCATGTGGATCTTAAAAAGTTTTTATAGGCCCTGTAATTGTAAGATAATTTAACAGCAAAATCAACTAAAAGTAAAACGGAGTTGTGTTGTTTTAATGCACTACAACAACTACGACGGTAATATTCAGTCGACGAGCGTCAATGAAAACTTTATGCCAACTTGAATCCCGGCTACACTCACATTCTCTCGACGATAGAATATATAGCGCAAGTGAGGATGAAATGTTTTAGCACGCCTAGTTGTTTATGAATTAGATGATAATGTCAAAACGACGTTGACATTAATAACGACAAAAGCATGCCAAAGAAAACAACATTCCATTGTCTGTATACACCAACATTGGAACCCCACAGTCCAAAAAGTGCATATCGATTTTTTTGTATTTGTAGATTGAAATATTTTAGAAAATATTCACACAATGTACAAATCCTTTTCTCTTAATAGGCTATTATTTATGGTCTCGCCGTGACCCACAAGGTCTCAGTGGCACATGCCGAACACTTATTTATTGTTGGACAAACATTACACACAACCCACAAGGTCTCAGTGGCACATGCCGAACACTTATTTATTGTTGGACAAACGTTACACACAAGGTAAGAGTAAACTGTCTAATTCTCTTTCAACTAAAATGCAATTAAATCCTTACTCCCTTTCTCATGTACCAAATAATACATTTCAAAACATTTCAGTTTCTGTTGCATTTCATGTTTTACAACCTTACTTCAGTGAAAGAGAGGAATTTGAGCAGAGGATCCAAAAGGAGTTGCGACAACAAGGGAAGTGAGCGAGTGAGTGAGCAATAAAGTGCTTTTTCAAAAATACTTTTTGTGTTTTATTTTTGAATCCGACAGTACTTTAGAAATGGACATGGATCATCTAGGTATTAAAGGGATACATTTTGGCGGGGATACAGAATCTGGTTTTATTTGATTTATTTTTTGTTAAACTTAAGAACAGTTCCATCAAGCTTCATACATGCTGGTTTGAAGTTGTGTGATATTGATATTTTCAGAATTTGTTTTATTTATTATAATGCATAAAAAGCCAGGTGTTTTGTAATTATTGTATTATATTTAAACGTTATGAATTATTGATTCTATTCGTCAAACCTGTTATGTTGACCACGGAGTCTAAGAGCTACTAATTTTAGTTGTATTGCAAAGTAGGTCATCAAATAAGTCAAAGTAATTCTATCTCAAATTAGTTTGATAAAAAAATATTAATATTCTTAATTTTTACAGAAAGATAAAATAATTTAAATTCCCTTTTACGATTACGTTTCACTTTCATTTGCAGTCGTATCTATCTATCTATCGATCTATCGATCTATCGATCTCTCTA